GACTCAGTCACACTGAGCTGTCAGACTCCATCATCTGTTTCTGTGCCTCAGTGTGATTTCTACATTGCAAGCCAGAAACTGTCCAAAGGTTCCTCCTGTGTGCAGACACTGACAGCGACTGAGCTGCTGAACATTGCACAGAACAGTTTACCTGCTGAGGTTGAAGTGAGATGTTCTTACACTGTACAAATTTATACTTTTAAACGTACATCTCCTGACAGCGAGCCATCCACCATCAACATTATCGGTGAGTGAAGAAATGACCATGAACAGTTTATGGTTCAGTAATGCTTATTAATGCTTAGGTGCTGGAATGACTAATATCTCAGTGCACTCTGCTATCATAAATATCGTATGTAAATTATCTAATTTGTATGCAAATATATTTAATTAATCTAACATATACTTGAATTTTCCAGATCTTCATCCACCTAAACTGACAGTGAGCCCACAGATGATCACAGAGACAGACTCAGTCACAGTGAACTGTCAGACTCCATCATCTGTTTCTGTGTCTTGGTGTTATTTCATCATTTCAGGAGATAAAACTGATAAAGCAGCTCCTTGTCTGCAAACTCTGACAGGGTCTGAATTTCTGTCATGGACACGTCAAAGTTCACCTGTTACACTTGAAATGACCTGTTATTACCTTAATATACAGAAATCTCCAGTCAGTAACATGTCACCAATCATCATACAGAGTGAGTAAATTTTTTTTACAATGGGCTAATGTTAGAATGTTTAACTAAATAATTACTTCAATATACAAAGCTGCTCATAAAATGGAGGATAAGTGAGGTGTAAAGACACTTTACTTGACTAATATAAAAGGTAAAACTGACAAAAGATTTTCTCTCATTGATCTTATTTTCTGAAAAAAGCAATATTTAGTTATTTAACTCAACAACTGTTTACATTTTTAGCTCCTCGGCCTGAACTGACAGTGAATCCAGCTGTGATCACAGAAACAGACTCAGTCACAGTGAACTGTCAAACTCCATCATCTGTTTCTGTGACTCAGTGTTTTTTGTACTTTATGAGAAGAAGAAAATCCACGTCAATCTCCTGTCAGCAGACACTTACAGCAACTGAGATCATCTTTATGGCACAGCAGAGTTCACCTGCTGAGGTTCAAGTGGCATGTTTTTACATGACAGAGCGTAAAGGAGGACAATACCAGTCTCCTCACAGCATCATATCCTCCATTAGTATACAACGTAAGTGCCTGTACTGTTTTTCCACACAGTCTGCACATATAGTGTTAGGTTTTACAAGCCAAAAACATAAGCCAAAACTGACTTTTACACAGCTGTATTTTAAATTAACCAGGAATAACTGCGCAGTATTACAGTGCAGTTAGACCTCTCAGATCATCAGGTGCAGCTCTTGTAACTGTTCCCACAATTGGATGTGTGCCGAGCCTGCTTTGAATTATTGTGATAGTTTTAAACCATCTGCCTGCTGACCTGAGGTCAATTACAACTGTTACAACGGTCCAGGGTATAATTTGCAATTTTTGACTGCTTTTGATTTTACCTCTATATTTCACCCTTAAAAACTGTTTATCTTGACTTGTTTGGTACCATTATTTTCAGCACAACCTCAAATATCTGAAATTGGAGTTATTTTTTTTCGTTTTGACACACTATATTAGCACAATTGATCTAAATTCAGAGAAAAAAAATTAAAATTCGAGTAGAAAAAAGTTATTTTTTACTGTAAAAACCACAAACATGTTTAATGAATCATTTTCATAACTTGAAATCAAATATAAATTGTACATTTCTAAATATTATGCACAAGTTTTGCAAACAACAAAGTTATGTGTTACTATTTACCTCAAAATGCAGCCAAGGCCTCAGGCGTTTTTATATAACCATTTAAAACTATTTACAGAACAATCAGGTGTTCTGCATCAAATAAGAAGGCACACAAATTATTTGTGCTACTCCAAAAATAGTGTCTGTCCACTATAAGACAGAGGAGAACACCACAGGCCTAAACCCTGCAGGTCTGACAGCAGGAGGTGCATCAGTCCAGTTTTCCATGTGGAGACAGCATTTAGACTGGAAACTGCCTTTGGTGGCCTTTTTGGAGCAACTGTGACATTCAGCAGTATAACTGACACACAATACAAAACAATAACTACACAACACACTAACTACAGCCTCCAAACACGCTAAACGTCACTAATGTCTCACATATGAAAACTCGCTCTCTCTCTTTCTTTCGCTTGCACACTTTCACCGGGCATCACTCCTAAAACTTCCCCCTCTTCCTAAACAACCAAATGCCACATGTTGCCATATCATTTTTTTGATTGGCTGACATTGTACACTTTAACACCAATAGGGAAGGGGTGTTTTTTCTTTTTCTTTTTTTCACTCGCAAGCAGAGAGTGTTTGCTAGCTTCTTCCCGCTGTAAACACCACTGTTTTGTTCAGAAAAAAGCATTGTGTGTATTTTTTATCATAACTCTGGTTTTACGTGGCCTATCAAAACAATTTAAAAACTGGTACATAGTTTGAAGGCCACACTTTCGACCAAAGTTTAAATGAAGACTGGGTCGCTGCATCTTGTTGCTGTGTCGTCTTAAATTGGTCATGTGATTTTGACGTGCCAGCGCATCCATCGACCCAAGAGGGTTAAGTCTGACGTCGTTAGCCTTGTCTGGGCCCAAACACTGTGGCATCACTGAGAGTTGAAAAACTGTCTAAATTCTTTCATTTGTAATAAAATGATGAGTGTGGCTGCTCTAACAGGTGTAACAATTAAGTTTAACACCCAGGCATCCATAAAAATGTATGATATTTAATGGAGTTAGAAGTTAGCAGGGAGTTAGCTCCCTAGCTTTGATCTAAATATAATATACCATGTCCTGACTGACAGATTTCTGAAACAAATTAAGACGTATAGCTCTGCTATCACTTCTGACATAAATGAAGACAGAAACCTAAACAGAAGTGATGATTATAAGGTTACTGAAGTTGGCTAGCTGGTATATGATGTGCTACGTGATCGCTAGCGATACAGCTCTGTTAGCATAATATAAACAGTGAAGCTGGAGGATGAACGCTAACTTTTTTCCACTCGATAAAAGTTAACATTAGGATTATTAGGATTATTAGGATTCTTGATGGTCAGTGACAAATGCAATTGCATGGCAGGATGCTGTAAACGGATCAAACTTCAGTCAGGATAACAACTGAGATAATTCATCCACAATACGAGGTTAGTCATTAATGTACTGCTTCCTGGGTCTGGGCTGTAGTTACATCGTAAGGTTGTAAAAACTGAGCTTTAAAATTATTAGCAGTAATAAAAACTGAGAGAGGCCGACAGTGGTCACTGACTGTTTTCAGGGGCTTGTTCAGATTAAGTAGAACGAGATACAAAGCATTAAAACACATTAAAAACACAAAAGCCTTATTAAATGCAGGGTAGTTTGGGCTCGGAAGGAGGATTTGTCACGTCATCACCTAAAGACTGGATTGAATTGCTTTACTTTGTTATGTTTTACTGCTTTAGCTGCAGTAAGGCGTTATATACAGACACTGGCTTTTTTTTTTCAATGTTTATTTTTTTTTTTTGCAAGAAGCAAATTGAGTTACATGAAATGAATTCTATATATAAAAATTACCATTGCCAATGTCATATTAGAATGAAACAGCTGCATATAGGACTGGAAATAATTTCTGATATTATTTTACAAATAACACTGAATACATTTCTTAGTTCCTTAGTGTGGAAATTTCATTGAGCTATGAAAAAAATCTTTTGGTTTGAAATTTCACATTTGTTAAATCAATCAGATCTGGCTACTTTGAGCACTTTCACCACATCTACTCCTATTTCTATGAAAGACAGAAGAAGAAACAGAATTACAGGTAAGATTTTTAAAAGTGACTAAAAAAGTTGATTTTTGTGAACACATATATTAGTTTCTTAATGTGAAAATTTTAATGAGCTGTCAAGAAATTCTTTTTGATTTTTATAATTTGACAAAAAATTAGGTTTTAAAAAAAGGAATCCATCAGACCTGAATACTTTGAGGATTTTCACAACATCTACTCCTATTTCTATAAAAATTCAAAGAAGAAACAGAATTACAGGTAAGATTTTTAAAACGGAATATAAAAGTTTATTGTTGTGGTTTTTAATGTTTGATTAAGTACACTTTTTAGGCACTAAAGGAACTATTTCTCCTGGGATCTCACTAGAGGCAGCCTCCCCTTCTTTTGTTCCTGGGATAACTCTCACAGCTGTGAGCAATCTTACTGCTGGTGACACGACTCTTACAGATCCAGCAACTGATGATGGAATGACAGGTAGACTTAATTTTACTATTTTTATTAAAGGACGAACATATATATATATGTGTGTGTGTGTGTGTGTGTTGGGGAGTAACAGAATACATGTACTGGTTTTCTGACCAATCATCCTACTTTGGCAAAACATCCTACCGTAACTAGTTTATGCACATTTCTGCTGTCACAGACGAATTCCAGCAAATTTAAGTAGGTATGACGGTTTGCCACTTAACTTTGTCCATCAGAGTATGCTTCAAGGGCGTAGATTTGGTTTTGGCATTGGTGGGGACGGATGATTCAACCACCGAACTCTGCCCTGTTTCTTTTTTTCCCCGCTTCTTAATAAAAGAGGAGAAATATACTTGCCTACATATGCTATTCTACGTGCTTTTAAACCATTTAAAATCACAATTCATAGTTTTATATGTGAATTATATAATGTTAAATTACTATTAAACAAATGACTGACTAAGTATTTTAGGCTTTAGTTTACTTCAGCCACA